TGAAATTACAGAAACAAAAATACATCGAAAGGAAAAAGGGATTATCATCAAATCACTGAGAGAGAGGATCAACAAGCTTTATGCAGTAAGTCAAGTTTTTTTCCTTTCAAACTCATCTCTTCCAATTAAAAAACATGTTTCATTATATCTATGAAATAATTTCCCCAAATAATTTTTTTTTCATTCTAATCTATACAAACAGATTAATGCACACATACATCTTTACCTATAAATGACTTAATGAAAAACTAACCAAACAACCCATTAGAGACGGTTTATTGAGTGCTTATCTGCCAAATGTATATCGGGTCACTTTACTTTATCGAATGAACATGATAACAATTGAGAATCTTACCAGTAAAAACGATAACAGAGACCGAGAGTCATACCCGGTAAGTGAGTGTGACGACTCTTACCCAGTAAGCACTTACCGAATAAAAATATTTCATACGATGTTGTTTAATGGAATAAAATGTTACCCGTAGGTTAAATGAAAACGGTAACTTTTATTGGTAGGGTAAGCATTGGGTAAACAAACCAAATCCTTCCTAAAAATATTTATGTTCATACAAAAGGTAAATCAAAAGAAAACTAAGGGGCCGTTTACCAAACATTTACCTGCTAAGTGCTTAACGGTAACTTAACACTATCATTTACTTACCGAATAAGATTTTAGTTCATCAAAACGGTATCGTATGCAACAATTTACCCGGTAAGCGCTTACCATGGTAAAAGTCGTCACCCTCACTTACCGGGTAAGATTCTTGGTCATTATCTCGCTTTTACTAGGTAAGATTTTTTATCCTTACCATATTCATCCGGTAAAGTAAAATGACTTGGTGTTCACTTACCTTAGTAAGCGTTTGGTAAACGGCCTCTAAGTTTGCTCTAATTAATTATGTTAAGAATATATTTTTTTTGTCATTGGGCCATCCTGGACTTGAACGAGAGACCGGATAAGCGGTATTGTTGGACCAGACAAAACAACAAGCAATAAAACCAAAAGCAGATATATGTTTTACTCTGGTAACTAGTAATTAGTTAACACTTTTTGTACCTGAGAGATGGTGGTTTACCATGCGGAGGATGTCAGCGGTTCGAGTCCGCTTATCTCCAACTCGTGAACTTAGCCGATACAAAGCTATATGATAGCACGACGACCGAAGCTCCGGTGAACGGCGGCCATAATAAGCTCATAAGCTTGGTCTTACTTCATTGTCCTCATTACTTCAATTGCGATAATGAAAAATCATTTCATTTTTTTTATTTTTTAGTTGGAGGTCCGAACTGACTGATGTTGAAGAATCAGCAGATGTAGGATGCCTATCCAGACGTTTTCGCAACTCGTGACGAAGGGATTATACCATTCGAGCCTTTTTCTTTCATGCTTTTCCTCTGGGACCCACTATGCCAAAAGCAAGAGAAACCCCAGTGCAATAAACTTTCAAACTTTTTTAGTTTTTTATTTATTTTAAACAATAACATACTGATATTGTAACATTTAACGATACTGATGTCAAAATATTGTGAGCTTCGTTGTAACCCTTCATAAACAAGTATCCACATCATGAAGAGCAACACATTACCAATCAAAATAAGTATAACATTGGTAACATTCAAGGGGAAGTAGTGGAAATCTCATCTTCCCCAGATTCACATGTAGGTGCTGCCAAAACCCTTATGATCATGGAGGTTCACATGCGATGACTCTCATGCTATTCGTGGTTTCCCAGAAGATCAGTTGATATGCGTAAGCTGACCTAAAAACCCACAATTACCTAAAAAAATATAAAATTGGAATTTTTGTTGCGGTGATTGAGAAAAAAGTTCGTTACACGATATAAGAACTAAAACAAACTAGCATTTTGATAATATTTTGTCCATGTTTTTTATATACAAAAAATGCTTAACGGGGCCCATTGAAACGTTACCATTTACGAACTCTTGATAGTCTCGTTACCATCTCAATAGCTCCTCAAGATTTTATAAATTTTAAGACGGTTTGTCCTGATATATTCCGCACTTTCTTTTCTACAATGGTTCTCGATTACCTTCTCGATAAATATAAAACGATGACAGGCAACTTGGTTCATATTTACCCTAACAAGGTTCTTTTTTTACTGTAAAACTTATTTATTTGTTACTTCTTCTGTTTCAAAATAAACTTTACGATGAAAAAAGCATGCGGTTTAAAAAATATGCAATTATTATATTTTTTTTAATTAACAAAATGCGAGTTTTACACTTGATTATAGAGAGAGAAATTCTCTCCATCACAAACTGATGGTAGCATAGGAAACATAGTGGTGTGTAAAACCCGAACCGAAAATAAGGTATTTATGTAAAACCTGAATGTCCGAATATCCGAAAACCGACTTTTTGAGGAAAATTCGAGCTCAGGTTGGGTTTGATTTTTGGCCATCCGATTCGTCCGAAAACCCGAAACACACACACACACACACACATATATATATATATATATATTAAATATTATATAAATATACTTATTTATTTAATTATCTTTTGAAAATTCTAAAAATCTTAGTCGGTGGTGTGTTTTTTTCTAATTTCTAAGCATATTATCGATTTATCAATCCTCCAAATCGATTGAATTTATCGTTAAAATCGATTTGATATATATACACACACACACACTTAATCCATTATAACTAAACCCAAACCCGGTCGATCTCAACCCGAAACCCAACCAACCCGAACCCGAGCAATCCGAAATCCAAAACTTGGGGCTTGATTTCCATATCCGAAATCCGATCGGGTTTTTGATTTCCTACCCGGCCCGTCCATTGCACATCCATAGAAAAACAAATATTTACTTTTCAAAGTGTACACTTATTTTAAAATAAATTAAAAAAATAATATACCCACTTATTTTAAAACGAAAGAAGTATATTTTATGTTTTTTGTAGAAACTTAAAAAACAAAATACTACAGATGTCTTAATTCATTGTATCGTGTTTCTGACCGTTTTGGTCTTTGATCTGTCTTCGTTTTTAAAAGATTTTTCTACTTAATTGGTTTAATTATGCTACACTTTAAGTTGTTTTTTTTAATCGTGAATATCCGGATCAACTTTCCTGTATCTCGATTTATTCTATGGACCCTGAAGAACAGCTAATTAAATAAAAATTTAGTATCTCAATAACTTTCATCTGACACGCCTCTTACGTTAAAATTCAGTTTTGTGTCCAAAAGAGTGCTAAAATTTAAAAATACACTGGAAGGTAAATTTTTTAAATATATTTATTAAAGTCATTCAACTAAATAACCTCTAATAACTCGTTGACGGTTTAGAAAGAATATTCACATACTACGATTCAAGAGAGTAATTTACATATGAACTATTTGTTGCAGTAAGTTTCATTTACAGGTATAGCAAAATATACAGATGAGTTCTAATTCGTGGATATCGAAGAATAACTGATTAAATATGCATGAACAGATTAAATCATGGTAACATTTCGTTAGTATACATTTAACCATTTTGCACGAGGAAAAACTCGAGCGTTCTTTAGTTACCTTGGAGAACGCTTCAACGATCGTCATCCTTGGTACCTGCATTCAAAAAAGTGTTACGTAAAGAAACGAACACTATATCACAGTAAATCCATGACATTCTAGCCTATTACAGAAAATATGGCTGCATACTCGTCAGAAGATCATAGATAAATTCCCCTTTAAGGTTATATACCTAAATAGACCATCGTCTTAATCGCATAAGACGAAGTTCAAACAGAGGACTTACATGGATAAATAGGGGCTATTTAACTGAATGACCTTCTCAAAAATTAAATTTACGAATCTAACCCTCTAGTGTATTTCTAAGGGGCCGTTTACCTAAAAACTTACCCGGTAAACGCTTATCGGTAAAATTCAACATTATCGTTTACTTACCGAGTAAGATTTTATTCACGAAAACGCATCGTATGCAATAATTTATCTCAGTAAGCGCTAACCATGGTAAGAGTCGTCGCCCTCACTTACCGGGTAAGACTCTCGATTCTTGCCTTCGCTCCTACCCGGTAAGATTCTTTGTCCTTACCATATTCATCCAATAAAGTAATGTGACTTGGTAAGCGCTTACCCGGGTACGCGTTTGGTAAACGACACCTAAGTCTTTATGGAGGTAAACTGTTTTGAACTGAGGACAACCAGGTAGGTCAAATAAAGGTCGTTGACCTAAAAAAATTTAGAAGGTTATGCTCGTAATTGAAAACCTATTTAAGGTCATTTATCCGAAGGACCCCTTTACATTAAATGAGTTTTCAATTAAGAGAATGACCTAAATTTTTTAACTGAGTCACATCTATTTGACTTGCTCCTGGTTCAAAACAGTCTATCTTCAGTTCAAAATAGTGTCCTTGGTTCAAAACAATTTAGGGGGTGTTTGTGATTACTTATTTGAAACAACTTATGTTTTTCTAAAAAAATTCCTTATCAACTTATTATAAGTTAGAATGGTTTAACTTATTCAAAAACTTTTTATTACCAGTTTGGCACTGGTATAAGCTGTTTATCCAAATACTCAAAGATGCTTATTACCGGTTCACACCAAAATAAGTCACTAAGTTGTTTTTATAAGCAATCGCAAATACCCCCTTACTCCACTAAAACTTAGATAAATACACTGGAAGGGCATTTTGCAAAACGAGCTTCTAGATCGTTAAGAGAGCAAAAAAAAAAAGTTACCTTCGTGACTGCTCGTGGAAGTTGAAGCTTCAGTTGCCTTAGCATTTGTATCGACTTGACCATTAGGCGATGAAGATGAAGCACTCGGGTTTGAATCATTCGGGTTCGAACTCGAGTTTGGTTTCAAATTGGAACCACCCGTTTGATTTTGATTTTGGCCCGAAGCAGAAGTTGATGTAGAGCACGTGTTTGTATTCGAAGCATTAGAAATGTTTGACTCGACGCTATTGCTCGGTTTCGGAGGATCAGCCAACGAACCTGTCTTCACATTGGAAGATTCAATTGAAGAACCGTCACCCGCATTTTGCTTCAAATTTGAACCATCAAGTTCCGAATTCGAAGTCTTATTACTTGTCGATTGAGAAGGTTCTTCGGTCCCTAAAAGCGTGTTCATAGCCTCTTTCATCTTGTCGCGCCGAGGACTTATGGTTTGCGTGATTGCTTGTGAAAGAGCTCGTTCATCTTCTCCGGGTTCTAATTTATGCATCAAGTACTCCTTCACCGAAACACCTTTATCCTGTGGTTGCAGGCTGCTCGTAGTGTTCTCTTTTGGTTCGGGTTTGTTAGCATTACGGTCACCGGAGACGGTGAGGCCAGAGAGTTTGGAATCAATGCTATCAGTGGAACCGCGGTCAACGTTGCTTGTGTTTTTGTGCTTCTCAGAAGACCCTTTGTTGGTTTCTCGCGGATTGTCTTTTGATGCGTGTTTGTCAATTTCTGGTTCGACCGTGGGTTCGTACACTGAAAAAACACATTCAAGAAGTTAAAACGATTCGAGTACGCGGTTGAGAAGTATTAGGAGGTCAAGAGGGAACGACATAAGTAGGCGGTAACCATGTCCAAGAACCGGTTACTATGTGGCTAACCCGTAAGACCATGTTTGACAACCATAAGTTGGCTTATTTTTTAAGCTTATTGAAAAATCTACGTTTGGTTTGTTATAAACCGCTTATAAGCTAATTTTTTGAAACCCTACTTCAAGTAGCATTTCAATAAACTTCAGGGTTCTTTTTCCACTTTTTTCCAATTATACCCCTTACCTTTTTTTCAATTAATTTTTCAACATGGCCGTCTAGGTCATTTTACATTATCATCTAGCTTTTTTTTTACCGAACGTAACTAGTTCACCAACTAACTTTTCAGCTAACCATTAGCTTATCAGCCAATTTGTGAAACATAATGTAGATGATAGAAAATATATATTACACGGGGAACTAAAAAACTCGGGTCCGTCTTTCTCGTAGTCCACGGGACGAGCACTCCCTGGAGGAGTAGCGTAAGGGCTGCGTGACTCGTTTTCATCTCTACGTTTCCTTCCGCTAATCGATTTCTTCAACTTCCTAGCCTTCTCTTTCACCCTCATGAACACCGATTTCTTGATATGGTGGTTTCCATGGTCGTCGTGATCATGGTTCTTTTGAAGAATTGGTGAAGAATTAGATGACCGACTCGAAACTTCGCCTGTGAATCAAAACAACAAAACTAGTAATTGTTTTCATCGGCTTTTGGCCATAGGTGTTAATAAGTCGAGTCGAGTAACACGTTGTTCTCGGTTCAAAAAATCTTGTTAATTCTTATTTAGTGTAACAAGGAATTTTTTACTCGATCAATGTAACAAAGTTTAAAAAATTTCCCACTTAATCTAATATTTAGTGACGTAAATGTCAAGTTATCGTCCACTTTACGGTAACACTTTTGTAAGCATCTTATAAACCTTTTAGCAAACGGGATCCATGTCATCAAATGTTACAAGATCAACAAGTTATCGGTCAAAATAGGTACAAAGTCGGAAATTTTGAAACGTTCTTGCATTTTGAGCATTTTACTCTTCGAAAAAATCATACTCGAGCTCGAATAACTTTTTTAAAGCAGGAATCGAACATCAATGTTCGGGCTTGAACTAGATGCTCCTTTACCTAAAATTCAAGCTTTTGCAAGTTCTTTTACGAGCTCGAGGTTGAGGTCGAAGAAATCGTTTGAACGGCTCAAACTCGATAACTTTTACATTATGATTGTATAACATGTGATATGCATGGCTCAAAAAATTTAAAAATCAAGCGTTCGAATGAGCCAAGCTGCACATTTGTGTTATTGAACTCCACTCGTCAAGTTAAACGAGCTTTATTTTGTATTCGAGATCGACTTAATCTCAATATAAACGAGCTCGAGTAACTCGTAAAAAACTCATACCGTCGGAACAATTAGAATTTACCTTTGAAATGTTGAGATAGTGGGGAGGTTGTTTGTGTTCCTGAACCCTTGGAGCCTGGTGAGCTTTTATGAGCATCTATGGGTTGAGCCATTGCTATGATGGGTTCATAAGAACATGGGTCTTTGTTTCTTATACTTAACAGAAAATCTAACAGAAAATGGGTGTTTCCATTTCTATAGATATTGAAACAGAAAATTTAAGGGGAAAAAATGGTGAATCTATTTTTATGCCACAATTTCAGGGAAAGTGAAGGTTGACCATCTTTCCCAAAATAGCAAGTTCTTATTTATGGTATTTCATACAGCCTAAAATAGTGTTGGTGATTATGAAAACCCTAAAAAATGGAATAATTTTTTATGCATGGTATTACACATACACAAGGCATGATGATGTGCAAAAGAACACATATACATGTACATCGAAACTAAGATTTTGTGGCTCGGGTTTTAGTTTCCGTTTTCTCTCGTGTGTCGAGAACCACAAGAGTAAAGAAAACGGAAGGAAAAACCGAAGGTCCGCGATCGGAACGTCAAAGAAACACCGTTATAAGCGTTTATTCACAAACGGGACTATCAAACGCGACAAGAAAAGTTGGCTATCGGAAAATACAAAAGTCGACCAAAGTCTCATTTCAAGATTTTGTTTTCGATTTCTTCCAAGCTCAACCCTTTTGTTTCAGGGACGTAGAGTAAGACGAATGCTAGGGATAACAAAGCAATCGCTCCGAAAAGGAGGAAAAGATTTTCCGCACCAAGTAGCTCCTGCATAAAAAATGATTATTTGATAGGGTTGACTTCGAAAAATGTTTGACTTTTTTACTACGAGAAACGAACGCTGACCTTCAACGGAGAGAACGCAAAGGTTACCAAGGCATTTGAACCAAAGTTTGTGAGAACTGCAAGACTAATTCCTTTCCCTCGTGTACGAAGAGGGAATATCTCTGATACCATAAGCCAACTTATCGGTCCAAAAGATATCTGAAAAAAATGCCAAAATTTTCCATCGAAGGCAAGAAATAGCTGTTAGGATAATATCCTGGCAAAAAAAATTAATACACAATACTTTTCTTTTTCTGGTAACAGAGGGTGTCCAGACCAGCTTGTGTGCACCTCAACTAATACCATGGGACCCTGAAGATAACTGTCTAGAAAAATCCCAAGTTAACACCCTTGGCCTTTACTGCCGGTGGAGCCGACCCTCAAATACGTATTCGCGTGGTTCATCATGGAAACAACCTCTCTACTGTTTTGCAGTCGGAGTTGGGTCAGAATACATCCTACCTTCTTAGATCCTATTTAGTGTGGGATTTACAGGATCCATTTCATTTGGTTTGGTTTTACGTGGTTCATCTACCTATCTTGGCTAGCTTCTAACGAAATTTGGGTACACGGTTTAAACCTAAACCTTAAACCCGAAACCCTGCCTTCTAGGCAATCTATATCCAACAAAACTAATGTCTCAATGTCGTGATAATTCTGTCATACACATGTCTAGGAACACAAAGACCCTTAAAAGTAAACACTATTCTTAGAGTCAATATGCATAAATTATCTCTAAGGAATCGTATTTATGTATTCATATTTTCGTTAATCATTAAGAAAATTAACTTCTAAAGTCCAAACACCAAACACACTCTTAATATCATATCTGGAAGTAGGCTTGGGGAGTGGGATGCACGTATACCTAACCTTTACCTCCAAAGAGTAGAACGTCGGGTTCCGTGAATACCCCTGGCTTTCAAGAAAGCGAGTTTACAAGAATTTTGGTGAAAATAAATTCAAATTATATGAAAAATAAACTTGATATAGATAACCATGGTTATTTAGCTCAATGACCTCCACAGGCTCCTTTTACAAAACGACCCTCTAGCGCATTTTCAAGTTTTCTCGAGGACGGAGTGTTTTAGAGGTATATTTAGGTATATAATTTTAAATAGATTTTGATAGACGTTCTCATGAATATGAAACCATTTTTTCTTTAATAGGTCAAGAGGTCATGTATTTCATTCAAATCCCATTTAAGGTTATATATATATTTAAATGACCCGTGTTTGGAACCAGAGGCCGACTGTTTAACATTAAGGGCAGGTCAAATGAAGATCGTTGAGCTAAAAACAAATTGTAGATACGTCATAATTCTAACCGAAAACTCATTTGAGAGCATCTCCAACAGATTCTTTATAATTTCTCTAAAATAGAGAATCAAAAGTTAAAATCTCTAAAAATTTACATTCTAACTCCAAAATATTCGCTATTTTAGAGATTTAATCATTAATTATACTATTAAAATATTCTATAATTTTATCATTCCAATACACTTTTTAAAAAAACTATATAAAATAATATTAATTCAATCTCATTGTTGGAATGAATTAAAAAATCATTTCTCTCTCCTCACATCACGTTCTTAGAGAATTCTCCAAACTTGAGAGTTTTTTTTCTTCATGTTTTTTTTCTATTTTAGAGAACACCATAGAGAATCTGTTGGAGAAAATAGAGAGCAGAGCTTCCATCTTTTCTAATTTAGAGAATCTGTTGGAGATGCTTTAAGGTCATTAAACCAAAGAACGCATACAAAGTAGATGTAAAGCAAAAGAATTTCAAACAAATCTGAAAAACAAGTCACCTGGTAGCATCCAACGTAAAGAAGTAGAGCGCCTACAGCAACCAATGGGAACCCTCCAAGGAATTTGTAATAAGCCGAAAGGAGAAGCAACGAGAGGGTCTGTAACATAGGAAAGCAGCACGATTGTTTCGTTAGTGAGACTTATTCTGCTACAATCTATAAACGGAAAGAAACAGATACATACGATTCCACTGATTCCGCCAATCAGCAAAGGTTTTCTCCCAAGATCATCAACCTTCAGAATGGCTACACTTGTCATCAGCAGCTGCACTAGCATATGTTACATACGGTTGGAAAAAAAACGAATAACGACCTTTTTTAACAAATATAGTTGAATTTTCTTTGCAAGCTAACAACCGTTCATGTGAACAACTAAAAATGGGCGATTTGGACAATCAAGAAGATGCCCACAAAAACTGGTACTTTTGGTACAAAAGCACTTGTTCTTGCAAAAATTGTATTTTTCTTTGCCCATTGTTTGCAATGAAAATCTCCAATAATGTACGACCTTCTCAGAACTACTTGTCCGAATATGAGGCATAGAGGTACCTTAAAGACACCGATAATGACTGAAACTCGTGTTGCATCAGCAGCCGCAGAGAATCCAGCAGTCTTGATTCCACAATTCACAAGTAAGCAAGCAGAATAATGACATGGATAAGCATATGGATACACGCACCCATATAGATATATACATATATACACGTGACGCCCGTGCACACACACAGATATATATATATATATATATATATATATATATATATAGAGAGAGAGAGAGAGAGAGAGAGAGACGGAGATTCAAGGAAAACCCCCAAAAAAATGAAAATTTGAGGAACACCATGGTAACCGTTCATCTGGACGGTATGCACATGTGCATACAAGTAATTGAAGTTGTTTCTTGGTTTGTATGCACGTATGCATAACATGCACACGTGTATACCGGACAATTTGCTTACATATTACTTGTATGCATAAATGCATACCATCCAGATGAACGGTTCCCAAGGTGTTCCTCAATTTTTCATTTTTTTGCAGTTTTCCCCAAAACCTATATATATATATATATATATATATATATATGTGTGTGTGTGTGTGTGTGTGTGTGTGTGTGTGTGCAGAGGGGGGTTCAAGAGACAACACAAAAAAAGGAGAACAAGGGAACCCATACTAACCGTTGGATTTAAAAGATAGATGACATAGACTCGAATGTAACCACCCTATTATTCACAACCATTAGATTAAAATAGATGGATGGTTCGGATGGGTTCTTTTGTTCTCTATTTTTAGTGTTCTCCCTTTAACCCACCCCTATATGCATATATATATACACACACACATACATGTGTTATACACAGACACACACATTCCCGACCACGGGGACTGTCCCGCTGGTTGAGTAGACATGCTTGTTGGTGGGTGTCCCACCTTCGGCTGGAATCTTTTTTTATTCATTTTAATTTTTAATTTGCCAGAGGTGCCACCTTCCTTCAATATATAAAGACACACATATATGTATACATGTATATAAATATCCTAGTAGAGAGAGAGAGAAAGAGACCTGAAGAATTTGACCAGCATAGTATAAAACACTTGGCTGCCCAGTTATCTGTTACATTGAGATGATACTCTGTAAGCTTAGATCAAGAATCATAACAGCCATGTCCATCTAAAATAATGCTAACAAATATTCCCACGTTCCACACTAAAACGTCATTTCCTAAAAGGGTAAGTCCCCAAAAATCTAAATGGTGAAGAATCTGGTAAAACGTCAACGATGTCAGAATGAGATAACTTATTAACAAAAAATAAGCGGAAAGTTTGAACCAGTACTTGTTGAAAAAGGACCAAACCTCCACCAATCACAAATGCTTTCAAGCTCGGACCTTGAAACACCTCAAAGATACTCCCTTCTGATTCTTGATCGCTACCATAAGCAGATTTTAAGGAGACAAGAGTGTCCTCGATCTGCTTTTCGGAAACTTTATCGCCAGAAGGCCGGCCCCTAAGTTTGCTTAAAGCAGCGACAGCCTTCTCTTTGTTCTCTTGCAAAGATGCTTTACCTTGGACTGCTCTAAGAAGTAACCACCGTGGAGATGGCGGTAGACCCCAAATACCTAACCCCATCAAAAGAGCGATTGGAGCACTAAACCCGAACATATAACGCCAACCTCCGATAGCGTCAATCTGAAAACTTCCCACAAAGTAACCCAACTGCAAAAAGTAGAATCAGCCGTTATTGAACACCTTCAACGGGTTGGTTTCCTGTGAGACCACCCACTTTTCGTGAGACCACTGTGAAGGTTTGGTATGTGCTTTATGTGAAGGTTTGGTATGTGCTTTCCCTATGAAGGTTCGTTATGTTTTTCATGTGAGGTTCGATCCTGTGAAGGTTTGATGTTTTTAACTCATCCAAAGGGCTCCAAGGTGGTCGATCTCATGGGTCTCTTGAAAACTGGACAGTCTCACATGATCCCCTTAACTCACTTACACAAGCGATGGAGTGGAAACAAATACCAAGATTCCAAGAACTATAAACAGTTCTTTTAAAGATATTAAAGTCCCACGGATTTGAGATGGACAAGTCTCTGCAATATAGAGGGGTGCGCCATGCATAGCCTGAAAAAAACCAAACAAATGAGAAGCCAGTTGATGATGTTTCATGTGGTTCAAGTTTTTTTTGGGTAACCGTGGTTGTCTGGGCCAGCTTGCGCGTGCCTTGACTAAACCCATGGGGACTGAAGATAACAGTCAGAAAACCCCCGGTGGCCCGGAGGTAATTCGAACTGGCGACCTAGGTCAAGGATCCCTACGGCCTGACCTTTATTTACCGGTTGAGCTTGGATCCAAGAAAGCTTACCAGACCGATACCTAGGCCGTAGCAAACTCGACCTAATAAGAGAACACCAAGACCTGGAGCATAGGCCGTGATAGAACCACCAAGGAGATATAGCAGAGCCGCTAATAGAAGTTCACGCTTCCTACCTTCATAAATCAATAGCTAATGTTCGATAAAGAAAATCCTAGAGCTTATTCATTGTTTATCATACGAGAAGACATAAAAACCAAACAAAATCAATATATCCCACCAGAAGGTAGAGTCTCCCCCTAGGGGGGGGGGGGAGAAGATGTACGTAAACCCTTACTTCTGTCTCAAGAAACAGAAAGGTTGTTTCCAGAAATACCCCCGCTTGCGAAAAAGATAAGTACAACAAATAGAAAGCACAACTAGAGAAGACATGTACCGAGGAAATCTGCAATTGGGTAGACTAGGATAGAACCAAAAAGAGCTCCATAAAGGGAGCCAGAGACCTAAATTCAAGTAGAACTTATAAGGTAACCAGTCAAAAGAATGTGAAAGTGGACAGAATAGAGATGTTAAAAGTAAAACAACCATGAATAACTTACCACAAGCCCCAGCTGAACAGCTGATAGATTAAACCATGTTGTGCCACTAAGCTCGGGTGACTACAGAACGATTAAGGTAAGTAGCAAATCCAACGGTGGTTATGTTGACATAATCTACAGCATATCTTATTGAATTTTTCATGTTCAAGAACTAAAATGTAGTATGTAGATTGGCAATGCATCTACCTGTAATGAGAGGGTAGCACCAGAGGTTGCACCAATGTCATACCCAAACAGCAAACCACCCAAGGCTGGGAATACAAACCTGAAATTTTAGTACCAGAAGTTACAAGTTTTATAAACCTCTTTGCCTTAGTAGGCTAAACACTCAAGACTCCAAAATAGAGTCATTTGGTTAAATGACCTTTGATAGGATTTTTATTAATCCATAACCTTCTGACAGGTTTGAGAATGACGGTGCTTAACAGAAGAATGCCACTTCCATACACAAGAATGCCTAAAAATCTGTCAGAAGAGCATGTATTCAAAAAGCACTTGTCGAGAGATCATTTAGTTACATAACCCCTCCAAAAAAGATGTACACTTTGCAGATAATGACAAACTTGATATGATCTGTTCATGGGAAAACAAGGATTTTGTGTGAAATTATACTCCATTGGATCCTGTTTAGGTGTCAACTATTGAATTTTATTGTCAACTGAAGTCCTTCAAAATCAATAAAACAGTAAGAATCGAGGGAGTGAAACAGGACACTCCATTACAAGGGTCAAATAGTATGTAAAGTGCTAGTTAACGTCATTATAAACATGATTCGTAGATGACAATAGTTCCTGATCCATAGTGACCACAATCTACCGTCAAATCTTTTCCGCGGCATTAAATATGATTTCCTGCTTTTGTTTTTCTCTTCCCAAATACGTAGTTGGTCTCCTTTTTTTGGCATGTTACAGAAGAGCGCTTGGAGACGCAGCACTAGGGTGGCAGACAACGTGGGGGATTGTAGCTTAGGTTATTTAGGTTCAGGGAGGAAGGAGAGATTGCAAGAGGTAGAGGGTGAGGGGGGGGGGGAGGTGGCACTTAGGTTATTAAAGTTACAGAGCTCTACATTAGATGGATGGTTTTAGTTAAGCTTTTCCTACTTTTCATGTCTTATAATGCTAGTCTTAGAGCACCTTCAATGGAGCTTTTTGGCCACCTACACATGTGAAAAAGCCACCAACAAGAAACAACTCGGTTTTTGCTTGTGCAGTGCTTTTTGCTTGTGAGTCACACTTTTCCGAAAAAAGATGAGAATAAACTCATACGAAAACGTCGACCATTGTGGATGCTCTTCGTTTTTCCTGCTTTTCCTGTATGCTCATTTAGTTCCCCTCCCTGCTCTAGTAGTTTTAGCCTTACTGCTTTAGCTTTCCTTGTTGGTTTCATCTTATCCCTCTTGTGTGCCACCGCTCCCTTTTTTCCACTTGCTTGCACACGCTTCTCTACTACTTCTATGCTTCGTAAATTTTCTTTTGCAAGCCAAGGGTCTTCACTAAACATCCTCTAGGCAAGGTGTGCATCCATCCTACAACCCAAACCCTACCTCTGTTTCGGATGTGCTGGACTTGTTTGATTTGGTTTATTAAGTTCCACGACATAAATTGAGACAACTAAATAGGAAATGAGACCAACTACAAACTGTTGTGGAGTTAAAATGATGCTAAATTTAAGTTAATTTACGATTGAAACGATTAGACATGTAATATTTTGAAAAATTCAAACAATGAATACACACACACACAAGGACAATCATGATCATAGAAGAGAATGAGGAATACGGAACAAATAACAGGCTTAACAAATCATATCCCATAACTACAAATTGAAAAAAAAAAAACACAATTCAATGGTGAAACAAGCAAAAATTAAAGAAGCTAACATACGGTAATATAACAGAAATCCATGAGAAATCTTCCTGATATGCTTCTTCCCCCGCTGCTGTAGCTCTAACCTAGTTTAGTGACAAAAAAACAAACAATCAAACAAATGAAGGTTCATCTAAATCAATGAATTCAAAATGAGAATGTGGGTTAGAATACAATCACCTTGGAAGTGAACCTTTTAGGGGGAACTAACGGCATGCTTTTGAACAAGGGGCATCTGAATTGAGTGTTAATTTGTGAAGATGAGCTGCCAATTTGGGGGAAACTGAGCAGATAACTAGGGTTAGATAAGTGGGTCCTCCGAGATGGAAGAATTGGAGAAAGTGGATGGTGTGAACGAGAAGAGAGCTTGAACAGAGATGGAGTTGAAGCAGGAAGCGCCATTTCTGGTGTCGGTCTGCGTAGAGATGAGTATGATCATCTTGTGGTGGGTTTTGTAACGACAGATATTAAGAATCCGCCAAAAAAGACGTCTTTTTTTAACTTTTGATCAAATTCGATTCCATAAATGGGAAGGAACATACAACACAAATGTGGATGAATTCAGTCGCTTATTTTTCACATTTTGATATCTATATAGAGAATATTTAATAAAAATATATTATTTAAAATTCAAGATTATAAGTAATTATTAAAGCTTTATTTTGAATTCGTGTAATTAACTAAAGATAAACAAATTAAATATAGAACAAACACCTTATTTTAAATATAAAAATCTAAAATATAATTAGGATAATCATTGAGATCTAATAGAATATTTAATTATTATTTTTATAAAAATTTATATCATCAAACTGAAAATAAATTACTTTGTTATTAATCTTGAAGTAAATTATAATAAAAAATTTGAGTTAAACAAATTACATAAAAAGACAAAAACTTTTAAATAGTTAATCTAATACTAATATCGATATATATATATATATATATATATATATATATATAACTTGGGTGACACGTGTCATCTTCTGGTGAGTTGGTTATCTTATTTTTCCGCCTAAACATGTATCTAGACACAATTTACATTAATGGTTCAATTAGACTCATTTGAACGTATCTAGACATAATTTACATTAATGGTTCAATTAGACTCATTTGAACGTATTTAGACACAATTTATATTAACAGTTCAATTATATTCATTTAATTGACCATGTGTCCTCTTATTCAATCAATCCTACTAATTTATGATGCAATTGATTTTATTCTTTGGTTAATTAATTCGTGTGGTAACTGATTCCTAAAAGAAATTAGTGTTTACTTTTAAGTTTAAATTCAGTTTACTAATATAGTTTCATTTCTAAACTCAACTTTATTCTAAATTCAATTTACTGAAAAGTTTTACTTCAGAGTTATTTCAAGAGAACAAGTATAAAGTTATTCTTCAGAGTTAGCTCACCCGAACTCTGGAGTCTGAACTCTGAAATCTTCTTTTTCAGACTTAGAAGTCTGAACTCTGAAGTCTTTTTTTTAGACTTAGAAAAAAGAACTCTGAAGTCTTCTGTAATTCTGAAGAGTACAAGTCTGAAAATTCATTCTTCAGAGTTAGCTCACCCAAATTCTGAAGTCTTCTTTTTTAGATTTAGCTCACCCGAACTCCAAAGTCTTAACTTTGAACTCTTTTTTTTCCCAGACTTTGAAGTTTGAACTCTGATTTAATGTGATTGGTTTTATACTTCAGAGTTATTGAGTACAAGTCTGAATAGTCATTCTTCAGAGTTACTTGACCCGAACTCTGTAGTTTTCTTTTCCAAACGGACACCATGAAGAGCCTCTGCATAGTGCATGCAGATCTAGCTTACCTATACAGAGTCTCTGAAGTCTGAAGAGTTTAATTCAGAGAAATTTCAAGAGTACAAGTGTTGTAATAAACTTATCTAGACTTTGAAGATAAGTTTTTAAGACTTAGACTTAGTCTTGTAAGCCAGAGCCCCTCTGATTGGTCTGGCTTCTAGATGTCAGAGGAGCTCTGGTTGGTCTTGCTCTGTATAATGCAAACTTTACCATGAGGCCTTTTTCAAAAATATTGGGTATTTGAATAACTATAAACTCAAGGTCTTCATATTTCGTCTTCAGATTTGACACAGACGCTCTTCTAAGTTTAAATTCAATTTACTGATATAGTTTCATTTTTAAATTAAATTTTATTCTAGGGTTAACTTCATTTTAACTAATTATTGATATAGTTTCGTTTCTAAATTCAAGTTTGAAGAGTCATTCTTCAAAGTTATTTTAATAGTACAAGTCTTAAATTATTCTTCAGAGTTATTTTAAGAGTACATGTATGAAGAGTCATTCTAAAGAGTTAGCTCACCCGAACTCTGAAGTCTGTTTTTTCAGACTTAGCTCACCCGAACTCTAGAGTCTGAACTCTGAAGTCTTTTTTTAAGACTTAGAAGTATGAACGCTGAAGTCTTTTTTTTTAGACTTAGAAAAAGAAGTCTGAAATCTTCTTTTTCAGACTTAGAAGTCTGAACTCTGAAGTCTTCTGTAAGTCTGAAGAGTCATTCTTCAGAGTTAGCTCACCCGAATTATGAAGTCTGAACTCTGAAGTCTTTTTTTAGACTTAGAAGTCTGAACTCTGATTTAGTGTGATTGATTTTATACTTCAGAGTTATTTCAAGAGTACAAGTCTGAAGAGTCATTTTTCAGAGTTATTTCCATATTACAAGTCTGAAGAGTCATTCTTCAGAGTTAGCTCACCCGAATTCTGAAGCCTTCTTTTCCAGACGGAGCACCATGTAGAGCACCATGCAGAGCCTTTGCATAGTGCATGCAGAGCTTTTGGCTTGCATATACAGAGTCTGAAGTTTAAAGAGTTTTACTTCAAAGTTATTTCAAGAGTACAAGTCTGAAAATTCATTCTAAATTTACTTCTAAGTTCAAATTTAATTTACTGATATAGTTTCAGGGTTAACTTCATTTTAACTAATTATTGATATAGTTTCGTTTCTAAATTCAAGTCTGAAGAGTTATATTTTAGAGTTATTTCAAGAGTACAAGTCTAAAGTATCATGATACTTTCGATGATCATTCATATCTGTAAGATAAGTTCCTGGCATGATTTAATTTTTTCAAATTTACCTCGTGTAATACACGGGATAGAACCTAGTGTGTGTATATATATATATATATTAAATTTTTATTAGATCTTTAAATTTATGTTTATTCAAATATAAAAACATTACCGTTCTCTCGAAACCAAATAAAACTATATTATAACATCTAGAGACAAAGAATAAAACAAAATATTAAAATTGAGATGTATCTCGTTACATTGCACGAGTACCATTCTAATAAAAATAAACCTATAGAGATATCTCTCGTTAATAATTCTTTTCTGGGACCATACTCATTAATTTATGTAAAGTAGAGAGATCAAATTTGCATTTAACTTTCACAAAAATGACTTGACTTGTAAAAATATATCTATATTATAAAATATTTGACAAAAACTCTTAAAACCCATTTTTTATGCATGAAGTACTGTATATTGATGCATGTTACTTAAAATTCAATATTACAAGTAAATTATACATATGTACAATTTATTAAGGCTCCGTGTTTGAATTGGTGTAACTAACTGCGGATAAACATAATTAAATAGAGGATAAACATCTCATTTTAAAATATAAAAAATTTAAATATAATTAGGATAATTATCGAGTTCTAACAAAATAATTAACTATTATCTTTATAAGAAAATTATATTACTAAAACAAATATAAATTACTTCGTTATTGAATTT